ATATATATATATATATATTAGTACCACCTCTGGCTGGAAGAAGGGGGACCCATAGCCTCGGAGGAAACCACACATAACGCATTGGAGGGAATGTGGGTCCCCTCCAATACAGTTTCTGTGTGCTTTTCTCCTACCACCCCCTTCCCTTTTTTTCCTTTATTGTGTATTTAAAGGTTACAAGACAAATGCCTAAAGGTTATGGATCTCTTGAAGCTCCTCCGCTTCTGGACAGGAACCGAGGACGCAGCAAGCATTTCCCCTCTGGATCGCCACACTGAGATGAGAAATATACACACTGAGAAATATATATTAGTATATTTTGGTAGCAGTCTTTCCTGTAGACATATATTATTAAATATGACCGAAAAAGTAAGATTAATAGTTCTAACACGAATTTTCTCAATCTTTCGTACATTTCTTTTCACTGTTGGAGGTAAATCAAAAATCAATTCTCCAAAATTCATTTTTATTTCTAGTCTGACGCGACACGAGCGCGTTTCGTAAAACTTATTACATTTTCAAAGACTTTAGTTCACAAATACACAACTGAATAGAACTTACGCATCTCCGATTTTATATCTACATTTGAGTGAGGTGGAAGGGGTGATGTGGCATTAACACAAGACAGAACAGGAGGTTGCATTAATAGGGTATTAATTTCATCAACACAAGACAGAACAAGGGGTGGTATTAATAGGGTATTAATTTCATCAACACAAGACAGAACACGAAACAATGGGTATTGAATAGACGTGTTTGTAGAAAGCCTATTGGTCCATATTTCTTGATGCTTCTATATTGGAGCGGAGTCTTGAGGTGGGTAGAATATAGTTGTGCATTAATTGGCTGTTGATTGCTGGTGTTGACTTCTTGATGTGTAGTGCTTCGCAAACGTCAAGCCGCCTGCTATCGCTGTATCTATCGATGATTTCTGTGTTGTTTACTAGGATTTCTCTGGCGATGGTTTGGTTGTGGGAAGAGATTATATGTTCCTTAATGGAGCCCTGTTGCTTATGCATCGTTAAACGCCTAGAAAGAGATGTTGTTGTCTTGCCTATATACTGGGTTTTTTGGAGCTTACAGTCCCCAAGAGGGCATTTAAAGGCATAGACGACGTTAGTCTCTTTTAAAGCGTTCTGTTTTGTGTCTGGAGAGTTTCTCATGAGTAGGCTGGCCGTTTTTCTGGTTTTATAGTAAATCGTCAGTTGTATCCTCTGATTTCTGTCTGTAGGGATAACGTTTCTATTAACAATATCTTTCAGGACCCTTTCCTCCGTTTTATGAGCTGTGGAAAAGAAGTTCCTGTAAAATAGTCTAATAGGGGGTATAGGTGTTGTGTTAGTTGTCTCTTCAGAGGTTGCATGGCGTTTCACTTTCCTTCTTATGATGTCTTCGACGAAACCATTGGAGAAGCCGTTGTTGACTAGGACCTGCCTTACCCTACAGAGTTCTTCGTCGACTTGCTTCCATTCTGAGCTGTGGCTGAGAGCACGGTCGACATATGCGTTACAACACTCCTCTTGTACCTGTCTGGGCAGTCGCTGTTGGCATTTAGGCACATTCCTATGTTCGTTTCCTTAGTGTAGACTGCAGTGTGGAAACCTCCGCTCTTTTCCATGACTGTTACATCTAGAAAGGGCAGCTTCCCATCCTTTTCCATCTCGTAAGTGAAACGCAACACGGAACTCTGCTCAAATGCCTCCTTCAGCTCCTTCAGATGTCTGACTTCAGGTACCTGTGTAAAAATGTCGTCAACATACCTGCAGTATATGGCCGGTTTCAAGTTCATGTCGACTAAGACTTTTTGCTCGATGGTACCCATGTAGAAGTTTGCAAACAGGACACCTAAGGGAGAATCCATGGCGACCCCATCTACTTGCTTATACATGTGCCCATCCGGGCTCAAGAAGGGTGCCTTTTTAGTACAAGCTTGGAGTAGTTTCCTCAGAATATTTTCTGGTATGCCAAGAGGAGTACAGGCTGGATCACGATACACTCTGTCGGCTATCATCCTGATTGTCTCGTCCACAGGTACGTTGGTAAACAGCGATTCTACGTCCAACGAGGCTCTTATCCCTGTGGCCCGTGTGCCCCGCAGTAAGTCAACAAATTCCTTTGGGGACTTCAGGCTGAAGGCGCAAGGAACATAAGGAGTCAGCAGGCCGTTGAGTCGCTTCGCCAGTCTGTACGTGGGTGTGGGTATCTGGCTAATGATTGGCCGAAGTGGGTTTCCAGGCTTGTGTGTCTTGACATTTCCATACGCATATCCGGGTTTATATTCCCCAATGATCTTTGGCAGGTGGAGTCCGGATTTCTTGGCATTCACAGTTTCGATCAGTTTGTTGACCTTTGCTTTTAATTCGGCTGTAGTGTCCTTCGTTACCCTTTGGAACTTAGTTTGGTCAGAGAGTATGATGTTCATTTTCGCCAGATATTCGTCTTTTTTAAGAATGACATATATTGGCGACTTGTCACCTCTCCTGACAACTATCTCCTTGTTCTCACGAAGGCTTTTAGCTGCCGCTTTGAGCTCGGGGGACAGTATGGTGCTTCTGTAATTGCCTCGATTCTTTCCTCCTTCTGCAATAAGTTCTGCTTGTAAGGTATCTTTGGTAGTGACCTTCTTTTGTGTCTCGAGGTCGAATATGTCGTCCAACAGAATTTCCAACTCTACTTTCCGGGCCATCTCACTCGGTCTAGACATAACATGACAGTTTATGCCCAGATTTAGGAGAGTGACTTGGTCCTCAGTGAGGTTAATTCCTGCAAGGTTCAGGAAGCCATCTCTTGGTCGTGGAATTGCCATAGGTCCTCCATATAATGTTGTTAGTTTCTTGATAATCCTTGTTTCAGTGCTGAGGTGATGTTGGTCTGTGAGGATGTCGAGGTGTTGTTCAATGCGGGTACGGATACTTTCGTCGATGTTGCTATTTCTCCACTCGTTTGTAGCATGAAGTAGTTGCGTTTTGTTGTCTTTGATTTCATTCGCTGCCTTGTATATCTGATCACGAATCAGATCCTGGCGATATTTTATCGTGAAGGCTTGATTCCTTGCTGCTGGGTCGTGCGCTTTAATATTAGTATATTTTGATAGCAGTCTTTCCTGAACATAGGAATGTGCCTGAATGGAAACGAACATAGGAATGTGCCTGAATGCCAACAGTGACTGCCCGGACAGGTACAAGAGGAGTGTTGTTAACGCTTACGTAGACCGTGCCCTCAACCACAGCTCAGAATGGAAGCAAGTCGACGAAGAACTCTGTAGGGTAAGGCAGGTCCTAGTCAACAACGGCTTCTCCAATGGTTTCGTCGAAGACATCATAAGAAGGAAAGTGAAACGCCATGCAACCTCTGAAGAGACAACTAACACAACACCAATACCCCTATTAGACTATTTTACAGCAACTTCTTTTCCACAGCTCATAAAACGGAGGAAAGGGACCTGAAAGATATTGTCAGTAGAAACGTTATCCCTACAGACAAAAATCAGAAGATACAACTGACGATTTACTATAAAACCAGAAAAACGGCCAGCCTACTCATGAGAAACTCTCCAGACACAAAGCAGAACGCTTTAAAAGAGACCAACGTCGTCTATGCCTTCAAATGCCCTCTTAGGGACTGAAAGCCTCAAAAAACCCAGTATATAGGCAAGACAACAACATCTCTTTCCATGCGTTTAACGATGCATAAGCAAAAGGGCTCCATTAAGGAACATATAATCTCTTCCCACAACCAAACCATCACCAGAGAAATCTTAGCAAACAACACAGAAATCATCGATAGATACAGCGATAGCAGGCGGCTTGACGTCTGCGAGGCACTACACATCAAGAAGTCAACACCAGCAATCAACAGCCAATTAATGCACAACTATATTCTACCCACTTCAAGACTCCACTCCAATATAGAAGCATCAAGAAATATGGACCAATAGGCTTTCTACAATTACTTCCATTCAATACCCATTGTTTCGTGTTCTGTCTTGTGTTTGAATTTAATACCCATTCAATACCCATTGTTGAAAGTTTGTTTTCACCTCATCCACCTCACCCAAATGTAGATATAAAATCGAAGATGTGCAAAGCTCTATTCAGTTTCAGTTGTGTGTTTGTAAACTAAAGTCTTTGAAAATGTAATAAGTTTTACGAAACGCGCTCATGTGTCGCGTCAGACTAGAAATAAAAATGAATTTTGGAGAATTGATCTTGGAATTACAATCAACAGTGAAAAGAAACGTAAGAAAGATCGATAAAATTCGTGTTAGAATTATTAATCTTACTTTTTCGGTCTTATTTAATAATATATGTCTACAGGAAAGACTGCTACCAAAATATACTAATATATATATATATATATATATATATATATATATATATATATATATATATATATATATATATATATATTAAAATATGACCGAAAAAGTAAGATTAATTATTCTAACACGAATTTTCTCAATCTTTCGTACATTTCTTTTCACTGTTGGAGGTAAATCAAAAATCAATTCTCCAAAATTAATTTTTATTTCTAGTCTGACGCGACACGAGCGCGTTTCGTAAAACTTATTACATTTTCAAAGACTTTAGTTTACAAATACACAACTGAATAGAACTTACGCATCTCCGATTTTATATCTACATTTTAGTGAGGTGGATGGGGTGAGGTGGCATTAATAGGGTATTAATTTCATCAACACAAGACAGAACACGAAACAATGGGTATTGAATAGAAGTGTATGTAGAAAGCCTATTGGTCCATATTTCTTGAGGCTTCTATATTGGAGCGGAGTCTTGAGGTGGGTAGAATATAGTTGTGCATTAATTGGCTGTTGATTGCTGGTGTTGACTTCTTGATGTGAAGAAGAAGTCAAGAAGAAGTCAATTGTGTATTAATGTTGACATTTAACATAAAATGATATGGTTCAATTATAATATCCGTATGAGTGAAGATCAAATAGGAAATATATAATTGATTAACTTACTTTTTAAATTGCCTTTAATTGTGATCCCTAGATTTTGGATTTTCAGTGAGATATTACAAGCTAGATTGGAGAGCACTCTGAAGTTTACTGGCTTAAAAATGTGACAAAAATTATTGATTATATGAGTACATGCTTACAGTGTATAATATTGTTGATAACATCAGATAATATTGTTGTGCTGACAAGTACCATTCCTTGTCTTATAAATAACTAACTTGAATGGATGGTGGCAACCTTTTTATTTTTCTACTATTCTAGCACTTTTACTTTATATTCTTTACTTTGCCTGATCTAATTTTATCCCTCTCATTCTAAATTTTACCTTTCCACTGACCACTATTCCTCACACCTTCCTTCCACCTCCCTACCTCCCTCATGTGTTTTCATTTCATTTACTGCATTTCGTATACATTACAGAGCAGCAGTGGGCGAGGTTCTCCCCCAGCAGGGTGAGGAAGGTGTTACTGAAGCGAGGAGCAGCAGTGGGCGAGGTTCTCCCCCAGCAGGGTGAGGAAGGTGTTACTGAGGCGAGGAGCAGCAGTGGGCGAGGTTCTCCCCCAGTAGGGTGAGGAAGGCGACGCAGGAGCCCACCAGCAACATGTAGAAGGCTCCCTGCAGATGGTTGAGGCTCAGCACCACTTCCTCCCCTTCATCCTGACAGTCAAGAATTAATAGTACATTAGGAGTTAAAGGAAGATATAATAGCTGGAAGGAATAATAAATATCATGGCAGTTGGACAGCATTAAATGAAAATTACCTGAAATATGTCTCCGAGAACAGTCGTAGTGTCCAGTTTTAATGCCTTTCTCTTTTCCCTCACCTTGCTGGCTATAACGTCGGCAGGCCAATAAGTAGTAAATCCAGCGGCATCCAGTCGAGTCATCAGTTGACTGAATTCTTTGCGAAAAGGTGCACCTTTCCTATAAAGATGAATATGATGTACATAATGTTTAGGACTATGAATTGAAATATGTCAATACTTACATGAAATTGTTTATTTTATTTATTAAGGTAAAAAAAATTATTATCCAGGGGTAACACTCGTCTAAAGTTCCCTTTCACGGAGAAGCCTAGATTGTGATGGTTGACAATATCATGAAGCAAGTCTCATTGCCTCCGACGATCACAACAGATAACATAATTAACTGTGGTAATCTATTTTACATACTTTTTCCATACAACCTAGATAACTTGTATTTTTAAAATCTTGTCATGATATGCAACTATTATATTATCATAATAAACATGGATACTGACTGTTACGGCCCTCTCGGGTCGCAACTGGGTTCTTACTCTGATGTTGTTAGAGGAAGGGTATCCGGCCCCAAGCCAGTAGTGGCTTTCAAGGGATGTGATCCGTAACGCAAGTAAATTAAAAGGGGAAGGGAAAGAAAGGCAAAAACTTAATATAATATAATAACCGCCACCAATAAATAATATATAAAAGGTTACACAGGGGGAGGGGTATTAACACTATTATTAACAAAGTAGTCTTCTCCTGAAGACCCTGGATCTTCTCGGTGCTCTCGTGGCCTCACGACGAATCCTTCGAAAAGCTGAGTCTACCCCGGCATAGGCCAGCCAAAACACAGTTCCACTGGAGGCACCGCCGTGGAGGCCGTCAACCACAAGTCCAGCATGCAGCTGGCAGGTTCTGGATCAGCAATGCTGGTCAGGCCACTCCACGAGCGATACTAGGGTAGCGCCCTAGTCAGGAGCCTCGTGTGATACCACAGATCACTCTCCTGTCCACAATACCCCAGTGGTTAATCGTCTCCACCAGTCGGTCCTGGGTATGACAATCCTCAACTGCCGCTTTACAGGCAGGGTAACACCACAGTGTTCATCCGGGAGGCGACTCACAGCTGCTGCAGCAAAACACTTGGTGTCGAGACGGCTGCCTTGGGTAGACTGACTCAACTTCCATTACAGCAGTCCCAGGTCGACTCTGTAATCAGACACGTCATCAGTAACAGGGACACACAAAAGCACCCCACTTACAGGCTCAGACCCAAACGCCCACCTATCCACTCCATAGATGGCGTTGTCGTCTGAGCACCACCTCACCAGAGGTCAGCAGCGGCTGTGTTGTGGGCTGAACAGGACTGGAAACTGGCCCTCGTGGCCAGTACACCTCGTCCTCACCAGGTGTCGTCGTCCATTTGGAGGGGGTTTCGGGAGCTGACCCATAGATGGCGCGGTCGTCGCTGCTCCGTGCTCGGACGTCGGGCTCGAGTCCGTAACACTGACATTCGATTTTAGGTTTTTATAATAATATTCAACGTCTACAGAGTTCCGGACGGAGTCAGGTATTATACTTACACCTTATATGTGTTATTGTAAATATTATTTTAGGTGTATAGTTAAATAAACAGTTACTGCTGATTTTTCTACCTTAATTTTAATTTATGTATATATTTGGATAATTTTCGGTAGTACAGTCGTTCTTTACTGACACTCGGGAATTCAAGGTTCAAATCCCAGGCGTAACAGAAATGGTTGTGCGCCATTACTCAAATCAAATCAAATGTTTATTCAGGTAAAAGTACATACATACAGGGTGAGTTACAAACATAATGTTGGATTTCTAGTAAGAGCTAGTACATACAATGCCTAAAATTACTAATACGCACAGCGTTTATGGCAACAGGGGCATTACTATTACCTAATTCTCCTGTTCATCTAGCAGTAAGTAAGTCCCCAGGAGTTAGTCTGCTTGTTGTGGGTTGCACCCTGGGGAGGGTCAGTAGTTCCACCTTGGGGAGGAAATCGATAATAACGTAACGTGTATATATACACTGGCTGCCTCTCCTCGACACAGTGGATTATTATCATTATTATTTAAATATTATATTGTATGATTTTTTTTAAACATTTGGTTTGCAAATATTAGGATAATTTTTTACTTGTTTGTATTTATTTATTCTCTTCATTAATTACACTATATTAAACAAGGGGCAGTTGATTGCAAGAATACATCCGTTGGGGTGAAGTGGAACATTCATGCAAAGTCACTAACATGCAGCCAAGGAACGAATGATTTATATATGTTAAGTTGTCATTAACATGATAAAGGGCAGTGCCTATAGCCTAATAATTATTATCCAGCAGAAAACCTACCTGTAGTTTTTAGCCTATTCTTATAATTACAAGTGTATTGTACATACAGTTCCATCTAAAAGGGGAAGGCTAATACTGAAACTTAATTTTGCTTACCTGTTGGGATCGCATGCACTCTCGTCCTAATTTTCCCACTTGTAATTTGAAAATTTTCTTATGCTTATTGTTGTTGACAATGAAAATTATGCATAAGTACAATGAATACAAAAAGGAGGCAATATCATCGCTGAACACTCACCTGATGCACCAACCTGCTCCCAGAAACACAGGGATGTCCCTGCTGATGTAGAAGGGAGTGTTGCCTCTCGCGTCCGTGTATCGTGTTGCAATGTTGATGGTGGCGAAGTCCTTCAGGAAGATCAAGGAGAATCCCCCTGCCAGCACTTTCTTCAGTGGCTCGTCCTCCCGTATGACCTAGGGGAACAGTGGTTAAACAAAAACCATTCTCTGATTTAAATATGAAGGTTTGTGGTGTTCAAGAGATAATTAATATATATTCATTATTCAATCTTGAAATATTCTTGCAAATCACAGCAGACAACTAATAATATGAACATAATAAATATTATTTATTGTATTAAATACTCAGTTTGGCACGTATTCATATGTGTGTAGTTTGGAATATCTAAACAACCCACCTCCATTTTCTGATAGACTTGATTGACTGCAGGGTTTGGATGTTTCACGAAGTAATCAACAACTGCTTCGGACAATATCCACGGTGGAGTTCCCCACCTCCAGCCAGGCTGGTTCACCAGGTCCTGGAAGGTCTTTAGTGGCCGGGACCTGCCTTGTACAGTAAGGTGAGCCATCAAAGAAGAACTGAACCCTGTAGTGACTATCAGGCAGAACACAAGCCACCACCCCACCAACATCTGTGGATAAGCAGTGATTTAGTCAAATATATTTCTTATAAAATTACTTTACAAAAAAATATTTATTCCAAGCCAAGACAAACACCTTAGATTTATTGAACATTTTGATTAAATGTTTGAGCTTAGACACAATAAAAAACTGTTTAGTTGTTTCAGTTCAAGAAGCTCTGGTTAAGCGTTAAAAAAATTTAACAATATCAAGTAACTCTTTAAATATAGAAAGCTCTTAATAAAATAATTTTATAACAATAAGTTGCTCCAAAGGTTCAGGTGCTTGTATTTTGTTACAATTATTAGTCATAATATTACATCATGTAGAAAAAGTATGTGTGTGATGGAATGAAAATTCCCTCAGCTAGTTTTTCTAGTTTTCTAGATTAGGCTAGAGTCGCTCTAGAGCACTCTTAGACAAAAAGTTCTCACATTACTCCCTCTTGTGTGATGTTGGCTGGAAGCCCATGCTTAGGCTTATTTTTTTTAAGACTACAGGGAAGTCTGTAGCTTCCCCCGTGGAAAAAGTTACAGAATTTATCATGTTTTTTGAGAAAATGTGTACATGGGACTTGAGAGAGTGAGTGTAGTTCAAGAGGTTACTTGAACTGGTAGCCAACGGTTTCAGTGGGGGGGGGGGAGGGAATTATCAGGGGAAGGCGCCAAGTCATTACGACTATATAGCACTTGGAAGGGGTCAGGATACCGACGCGACGTTCACCGCAGAGCGGTGAACGTCGCCTCCCCCACCTTGTAGGGAATGACGTCATACTCCTAGGCCTGCCCCACCTTGTGACATCACAGGATGCCGCATGGTATGGGACGGCTCTGATTCGTCGAGGCATCTCAGCCTCGTGTGACGTTGGGGGGGGGGGGGGATGGCTGTGATTTGAAGCGGCACCATAGGCTTTGCCGGCTTTGTTGTGATTGGTGAAGTCAAAGTGGGGAGAAGGCCAGCGTGGTAGCTTCTCCTGAGTCCGCGGAAAGGCAGTCCAGAGGCGGCGATCGAGTGGACAGGATGCCTCAGGTGGTGGAGGTGGCACGCTGTTACCTCCACCACCCCTGAATCGCCGTGTAAACACCATTTCCTCATCGCCACGGTGATCTTGCTATCATGGATCGTGCATGGATCCAATTTGCGTGATCGAGGGCGGTTTATTAGCAAATTGAGTGAGAAAAGGATCTGTATAGGGAACACGTGTTCCCCATGAGGCACGTGGCAGCCTCGTGCTTATCAGATGATATTTCACACATCTGTAGTCACCTGATATATTGACTAAGATGGTAGGCAGGCGGTAGGATTGGGAAGGGGGTTTTCAAGTGTTAGAAGAGACCCCGGTTAAGGATTTTCGGGAAATTACAAGTCCGTGTTGGGACATTGAATTCTACCTCACCCGCGTCGCCATTACGCCCACACCACACGCCCTGTGTACGAGTACCATATTCTCGTGGCGTGTGTGCTTTCCCAAGTCACCTTGTATACGCCTGTGGGCCACAAGGCCATCCCGCGCGCACCACCTCCTCCTGGGTGAGGAGGTGCGAGACGCCTCGCACCACTCCATGACCACACGCTCCGGCCACACACCCTGGGACCACACCTGGTCGATGCATGTGGAAGCGAGTTGGGTGTTCTACTACTTCAAAAGGGGGCATACCTCCCAATTTGCCCAAAATATGCAATAAATGAAAACTGGTTCGATTTCAATCAAACTTTTTTGACGAGTTGTACATGAAAAGTGTTTCATCTGGCCCAAGTCTCAGCATCGTAGCATAAATAGGAAGGGAGAAAAAACATATTGAAGTAGGTTTCAAAATTATTCCAAAATGGTCAAAAATGATTATCAAACGCAAGTGTCAACTGAAATCATATCTATGACTCTCGCCTATCTCAATAGCATATATTAAAAAAATAATAAAATTAGTGTTATTAGAAAAAATTTAAGGTAACAAAAAATTTTTTTTTTTCCAACAAAAATTTCAATTTTTTTTTTTATCGGACGATTTTCATGAAACTTATTCACCTGACTGCACATAAGCCTATCTGTAAGGGTGCCAATTTTGGAGAAAACTGGTTGATGTCAACCTCAGCCACAGATGGTAGCACCTTAAACTTTAGGGACACTCATGTTAATTAGGGTAATTAACACCTCGTCCATGAATTCACAGTGTTCGATGATACCTCCTTAGGCAGTGGGGGGGGGGGACGTATTTATGTATAATTAATTATCGGTCCTGGTGACTGTTAATTGCTCTGGATTAATTTGGGTAATTAACGCTCATTAGAGTAAAGTTTGACAGAGACTGTCGAGAAGCTACAAAGAGAGAGTGGTAGGCTTAGTTAACGTAACTCTTTTGGGATATAATTAGTTGTCCGTTTGACAATAATTAGGAATTACTAACTGAATGCTTGAGGAGAGTCAAGTGGGATGTAATTTAGAGATAATGAGTTATTGTTAACAGTTTGACTTGTTTGTAGGAGACAAGTGTTGGTGATTAATGTAGTGTACTCATGTTGCTTGAGGGAGACAAGTGCTTGTGATTAACGTAATTTGTTGCTGACTGCTGTTGACAGTTAATTAACGTAATTAATCACATAATCAATTTGGTAATTGATTAAGGCAATATGCTTGATTATCGTCTCTGGAGACGAGAGTAAAGAAACTTGGGGATTACTGGAGAAGTGTCTCAGGGTCCCACTTTGCCTAGCGTTGTCTACATTTGTAACTTCTTGCAGGGAACTGCAAAGAGTGTTCACATTAGATTATGATAGGGGGTTATCACTGTTGGATTACCCGCCTAGGTACTTGGGTACCTCGCCGGGAGGGCAGCGAGGGCCAGTAAAGATTGTGATTATAGTATTACTCACCGGGAGGGCAGTGAGATATATTGATTGCAAGATTGTGTCACCAGTGGGCACCATTGTTCAGTGTGTTCATTTAGTCAGCCCGGAGTGTCAGCAAGATGGAGACTGTTGTTATTTCTCGAGAAGCTATTGAATAGCTGTCTTGCAAGTGCCACTGGATGGACATTAACGTACCGAATCACTCACTATTGTGTAAACTTAGTCTTGTGAATTATTTGTTTGCAATACTGATTCATCAGTAAACACACCTGTGTTCAGGTTAGTTTAGTATTCAGGCGCGCAGCAACAACTGACACATTCAGAACATTTGTGTTAACAACATGTCATTAGTAACATCAATATAATTGGATATAATGTCACAATCGTTTTGCGAACATATAATAAATTATTTACCAAGATATTGTGTTTAAAGCTTTGAACAAGTATTCTCCTCTCAGTATATCAACACAGAAGAAAAATTAACTTTTATACTATTAATTATAACTTTTTTTTACTGGTGAACCCTAGATTAAATAAAAAGTATAGTGACTTTAAGTATTACCTTATTACGATCTCCGTATCACTCTTCATATTTTGGTTTATATGGAGCAGGAATCTAATATAATACTAGATGGTACATATTCATTGTTACTATTTTACATTTAGAGCCTAGGAACTAAATCTTAACAGTTTCATATTAAAATTTAAGAATGCGAGTTCTTTCTAGATAACTAATCTCCTTGTATAGAAAATTATTATTAAAAAGTTTGGTTGTCTAAACAAATCGGCTTGCGTTGTTGCATGTGCATAATCGTTTGTCCCATCACTCATCATATTCCCTAACTTTCACTACCTTCTGTGCCCGGCATTATCTTCCATCTCCTTCAGAACCTCCTTCTACTTTACCACCTCTCCTCTCTTTCATGGTGTTTAAGATTCAGCTTCTAGAAACAAAACGTTCCAAGTAGCACAGGCTATGGTGAGCCCGTAGTAGACTTACCTGGCAAAGGAGCGGGGCTGTAACTTGACTCTTTCATCATGTTCCCTCTCCTTCACCACCTTCCTTACCCCTCACTACCTTCCCTCTCATTCACTACCTTCCCTACCTCTCACTACCTTCCCTTCCCCTCACTACTTTCCCCCTCACTAACTTCTCTCTCCTTCACCACCTTTTCTACCCCTCACTATAATCTCTACCCTTAACCACTTTACCTATCCCTCAGTACCTTCCCTCTCCTTCACCACCTTCCCAACCCGTCACTACCTTCCCTCTTCTTCACCACCTTCCTTTCCCTTCACGACCTTCCCTACCCCTCACTACCTTCCCCTACCCTTTACCACTTGACCAACGCCTCACTACCATCACTCTCCTTCACCACTCTCCCTCTCTTTAATCATCTGCTCGAGGAGAATAGTATTTAATCCCATATTCAAGAGAAACTGAATTACTAATATTACTCGGAATGGTGCTCCTAAAATTTATTATTTTGTACAATTGAGGCCAAAGTTTCATGATGATCGGTCGTGATCGTCGTGGACTATGCCACAATGACCTGAAGCTTTTGCTTTGACAAACTATCTGCACATAACAACTTGGGGCCCATGGTATCAACAAAGTTAAGCCCTCTTTATCTGTTTCAGCATAAATCCTCTTGACTCACGTCAGAAGGATTTTATTTTCTTAGTAAGTGCATATATTCATTCTCATTTGAGAGTTCTCGTAATTCGACCACTGTTACTCCCGTAAGAGGTATGACTATTGCTATTTCATTCCCATTCGAACACTGCTTCGTTGCTAAGACAAAATTACGTGTTTCGAAATATTAATGGCTGACAGTGGCTCGTGTTATGAGGTGAGCTAATGTGTCTTCTGATAGTGCAGTTAGTAGACACACTCACGTTGTCTGCAACAAATATACATAGGAAGCCTTACCTCAGGCACTTTGATGTTAGGGAACCTTACTTCATAATATTTTTGTGGAAGGAAACAATTTATTAGGCATTGATCAACGGCTCTCTCTCTCCATGCCAGTTGCAACTCGAGAGGTAGGACTCTTTTTCTTCTGAATTTAGCCTGACAACTCTTCTGCACCAAAATGCTTCCTCGTATGATTGCAGGACCAAGTAGAGCAAGTGGGTCAACCGTTTAAGATTGTTAAGAGAGTAG